GTCTTCTATTTTATACCCGAGATATTCTATAGTTGTCATCATACAGGAACATTTATCTAATCGCAACTGCAGTTTGTTGGATTTCATGATTCGGCATACTTCTCCCAATATCGCTAAGTTTTCATCAAGTGTTTCGGTCGCTATGAGAATATCGTCCATATATATTTGAAGTTTTCCTTGTCGAATCAAATCAGAAAAAATGACATTTTTGTATCGTTGGAATACAGCAGGAGAATTTACGAAACCAAACGGCATCTTAAGGAATTCGAATTGGCCACCTGGAATCACAAAAGAAGTGTATATAATTGATGACTTTTCGATATCAATATGATAAAAATCGTCTCTCAAATCAAGAGCAGTAAAGTATCGGGCTTTTGACAAATTGTTCAACAAATCGTCAATCACAGGTAAAGGGAAACTGTCTTTTACCACAATTTTATTCAGTTCACGAAAATCAACACACATACGCGATTCGCCTGTTTTTTTCTTCACCAACACGATTGGATTAGAATATTCGGAATAACTCGGTTGTATTATCTTCTTGTCCAACAAGTCATTTACAATGTCATTAACGATCTCACGTTCCGCTGGAGCTAACCGTCGCGGTGGAAAAAACACTCTTTTGTAATAAACTAATAGGCCTAAACGTGTTTACAATATTTGACTTAAATTTTGGAATAAAACGTATTAATTGTATTTTCCAACATTTAGGAAATTTCCCTTGTTCTAAGCATAAATTAAAAATTTTCCTCCAAATTTCTGGACAAAGATAATAGGATTTTAAAATTATTTCTTTGGTTATACCATCTATACCAGGAGCCTTTTTTTCCCTAATCTATTTATATTATTAATAATTTCATCATCAGTAATTTCCACATCGTCAATTTCGTCTTCTGCCTCGATTGAATTTAAATTTAAATCTAATCTAATAGATCTGTGTAAGGGTGTATCCAAATTTTTATCATCATTAGGGAAATATTTATTTAATAAATATTTTATTGTTTCTTTAATGTCTTTAGTCTTTTCATTATCATCTCCTACTATTGTATTCAAATCTCTCTTTGTATATTTGTTTCTAATAATTTTATAAATATTTCCCCAAACGTCATTTTCTGTATTATTAGTACAATATTTCTTCCAACTTTCTAATCTTGCTTTTAATATTTCCGTTTTGTATTTATTTCTTGAAATTTTATAATCTTCTAATAAAATGTTATTTCTTCCTGGAATTGTAGATTTTTTCTTTATTTTCCATCCTAATCTATTTGTTTCTTTTCTTAGTTTATTTAAATTATCGTTCCACCCCATAATAGATTTTTGTTAAATCCTCACTCGATCCAATTGAATCATTCATATTGGAAAATTTCCAATACAAACTTAATATAACGACTATACACACAAAATTACAATTAGTCTTTGAAATACAAAAGTCAATTTCAAAAGCAGCAAATGGTAAAATCCTACCTTCAGTTCTCCTTCTAATATGTCCAAATAACACAGATAACGTTCACTATACACTAATAACACATAATGTTCTAACAAAATAAAATTTTTGAAATTCGAAAAACCAAATTTTGACTGTGTCAAAAACCTGGTGTAGACGAAAAACACCTCCCGACTCTAACTTTATATATCAGTTTATAGTAAAAATTATGAGGAACAACGTAGTAGCAATTGAGGAGCTTGCATGCAAAACCGGATATATCCACATTTAGCCGTGATCGACTTTTTTTTGTATTTTCACTTGGCTTCCCAAAGTGCACGTAATAGTGTTGTTAGTTCTGCTCAAAGTGGAGTATATCCACGTTAAAATTCCATGCAAAGTCGGTATGTTGCATCAAAACCAGCAATTCATACTTTTGCTGCAAAACCGGATAAATCCCTCGGTATGTTTTGCCGCGCTTTGAATGCAAAACTAACCATTATTTTTAACGTGGGTGTGGTTTCATATACCGTGTATTCTGCGAGTTGTAGTGAATATTACTGTGCTGTGAAATGGACGAGGATTTAATCACTGTTGAAAGGGCCAATAGAGGAACTAGAATACGTAAAAAAAACGTATCTTCTAGGCAAACGAAAAAATCACACCTGTAAGTATTAGGTTATGATGATAAGCTAATCGTATTTCATACGCGTATCGGTTGCGTTTTTTGTAGTACTATATTGTAAGACATTATTTTTTAACTTGCAGTTATGGTGATCCAGATCCCGGTTTAAAAAAATTTAAACGTCCTTGTGAGCATAATGGGAAGTCGTATAAGTGCACACAGGTAAAGATGAAGGATTTACACAATCTCCGTAAACGATTCTATGAAGACGCCGATAAAATAAATCAGGACGTTAAGTTATGTCATATGCTTTCGGTTAGTGGAGCTACGCGGCGCCGGACGTCTAACATCAATCTGGACCCTCTAAGAAACCTTAGTATTACATACTACATTAAGACTGGATCTACTGCAACGCGCGTGTGTCAAGCATTTTTCACTGCGGCCTTAGGGGTAAAGAAACATAGAATAACAACCGTCGCAAGAGTACTTTTGGAAGGTGGGGTTCCAAAGGAAAGAAGGGGAGGTGATCGTATATCCAATAAATCGTTATCGAAGAAAGAGCTTGTACGTAATTTTATCAAGAGGCTCAAAGGCAGGGAAAGCCATTATAATACAAAAAATCAAAAAGGGTGTATTTAAGTGCAAGTTTGTCCATAGCAAAGTTACACAAGATGTTCAACGAGCAGAATTTACCAGAAAACAAAGTCTCGTACTTCATGTTTAGAAAAATCTTCTTGGGTGAATTTAATATTGGATTTTCCTCCCCTGCTTCCGACGTTTGTTCAAAATGCACAAGACTAAAGCAGCAATACAAAATAGAAACAAAGGAAGATAAAAGGAGGCAACTGTTGGTGGAATATTCCATTCACAGAAAACGCGCTTCTGCTTTCTACGAGCTTTCTAAAGAGGTGCCTCCAAACAGCATTACCTTTTGTTTCGATCTCCAACAGGTGCAGCCCTTACCCCGTACTCCTATAGGAGACGCATTTTACTCTCACCAAGTAAGCTTTTATTCTGTTTGTTGTGTCCAGATGTCGTCTCGTAATCCTACTTTCTATGTATGGACAGAAGATATAGCCGGCAGGGGATCAACAGAAGTAGGGTCTGCCTTGTTTAGCCACTTGAATACTTTAGATTTCACTGATATAAACATCATTCGCCTTTTCTGTGACGGCTGTGGAGGCCAAAATAAAAATTCCCATATTATACATATGCTGATGTGTTGGTTAAAGAATATAGCTCCAAAACATGTCTCTGAAATACAAATAATATTTCCAGTTAGAGGTCATAGTTTTATGGCCGCCGATAGGTGTTTCGGAAGAGTGGAACGAATACTCAGAAAGCACCCTGTTATAACATTAAAAGAAGACTATATCAGCCTTTACTCTGAAGTAGGAAAAGTAAAATGCTTAGGGAAAGATTGGAAACTCTACAACATTAAGCAACTTGAAACCATATACAAAAAGCTACAAGGTATTTCCGACAAAAAACGAATTTGTATTAAAAAGGTCCAAAAAAACAATAAGACAGAAGTTTATGTGGCAAGTTATTCTTACTATAGATTTGTTACAAGTAACGAGACAAGAGCGTCTTTGATAAGAAAAGGACAATCTGATGTAACGGAACTCCCTGAACTTAATTTGAGGAACTCCATACCGGAAAAAAAGAAAGCCAGAAAATTAATGGAAGAAAATTTTGGAACTGACTGGGAAGGCCGAGACGATCTGCAATGGTACAAGGGACTGTTACATACAGAGCCAGGTGATGTTGAGGGTGCAGATACCATCGACCAAGATGAGTGTGATTGCTTATACGAAGAGCCAAGCGTCCACATTTGAAAATTATGTTTTTTGTTTTTATTTTTTTATAACCAACATTATACTTTCAATAAAATTTAAAATGTTGCAAAATTTATTAACTTTTTAAGCAAAAGTGGCTATATCCAAACTAATTTTCAAATTTTTTCAAAAACCGCACTTATATTTTTAATACTGTAATATCCCTCCGTTTAACATCCCAACATAGAAGTAGATGGCGACTAAACATTTTATATAAAATTAAAGGCCACCTCGTAAAGAGTTTTTTGCGTTTTTTGAAAAAAAAATTAAAAGGGATATATCCGTTTTTTGCACGCAACCTCCTCAATTATAAAACATAACTAATGGAAATAAGCAAAATTTATTTATTTAAATATTGACAATTATGGGGGTGTATACGGCATCGACGAGCACCTTTCGCCACCACTATACTTTACACATATCAGATAAGGACTTCCTATCTGTCAGCGTGGATGGCGGGGGACGCAATGTCTCCGATTATTGTCAATGTCCTGCATTTATTGGACTATGTCCCCCCCTCCTGGACTACTGAGCCCCTGATGCGTAGGGTCGTAGCATCATGCTTCGTCTTGTTATTGGGGTAAACATCGAAGCAGGCCTCACTTGTGGGCAGACTTGGTGGGGCCTCGCGGATCCGACCCAAATGCGGTGGGCACTCTCCACGCGTTGGCCCAAAACATATCTCCGGTAGCGTGGAACCCCTTAATAGTGGACAACATCCTGGCCGTGCGGCCGCATGAGTGGGGCATTTGTGCCCCGTCACCCAAATCCGATTTCAGCCATGAGAAATTCCATCGTGCCGACTGCTCGAGCCGTTGACTGCGCTAGAGCTAACTATAAACTTAAGGAACACAGCGACAAAATAAAGAAGAACAATGCATGGGCAATTATTTGCGCCCAAGTAATTGAGAACTTTGATGAAAAACCAGTTCAAGAAAAAAATCAAGTCGGTAAGTAAAAAAGTCAGTCATTTTACACGCACATTTATTGTTTATGTCATATTATAAAGTCACACACATATTTATTGATTTATATCATTCCATTGCCAATCTAGTTTGCCTTCCTCGCTCACAAAGTAATTAGCAAATTCTTCACGGATTGTTGTTAACATAGGTCCACCTGGACGAACTTGCTGGGTTGAATGTATTATAGAATGAGGAAGACCCTCAAACGTATCCTCTAATTTATTTCCATCTCGTTGTTTTACGTAGTTGTGAAGAACACATGATGATTTTACTATATCCACTGCGAAATCAACACTGACGTTAAGTGGTCTATGAAAGATCCGCCATTTATTAGCTAATATGCCAAACGTGCATTCAATATATCGCCTCGCACGTGATAACCGATAGTTAAAAATTAATTTTTTCTCTGCTAAATTCTTGCCACCATATGGACGCATTAAATTTTCCTGCAAGCTGAACGCTTCATCCCCAATAAACACATTCGGTAATAAAGGTCCATTTTGTGATATTGTAGAAGGTGGAGGTATATTTAACTTTTTTTCTTGTAACATTTTATATAGACAACTCTCTTCGAAAATAGTCGAGTCAGCGTGTCTTCCATATGAGCCTATATCCACGAAAGTGAACATATAAAGCCTTATTAATAGAGCAACCGAAAGTAGGGTTTTAGTATGCTACTAACTAGTAGCCACTAACAGTCGACTAAAGCTTCTTATTAATAGTGCATAAATTAGAAGGTACTACTTAGTAAGATGTTAGTTGCAATATGCGAATGGCAACGCGGCACTGATGCCCAGTTGCACCGTTTTTTACTTAAGAAATTCTTTAGTAAGTAGTTCTTACATTTAAGTAGTTCTTAAATATTGGGTACGTTGCACCAACCACATTTGATAAATTCTTACCTAAGAATCGCTTAAGAATTTGTATACATGGCAACAGTGTAATAATTTAGTGAATTTGGTTTTATTTGTATATTTTAACAGAACCTCACTTTACTGCTAAAATATAAACAAGTGATATCGATTTAAAGGTGCTCTATTTTTATCGTACCTATTTAAAAATGGAAAACGATGTAAGTGTTTTACAATATTTGAATGGTTTACAATCATCTGCTGACCCTTATTTTTGTAGGACTTGTCTCAGAAAAATAAGAGTCGCACCCCTAATTTTACTGGGAGCGAGAAACAGTTACTATTCAGTATCATCCACAAATACAAAGAAATAATAGAGAACAAGAAGACTGATGGCGTTACCAATGAAGAGAAAGTAAGGACTTGGGACAAAGTTGTTTCCGAGTTTAATACCAGTTGTCCAGAACGTCATCGGTCGTTGCAGTCTTTAAAAAAACTCTATTACAACAAAAAGAAAGAGATACGGAAGTCGGTGGCAGAAGAAACTAAGGAACGATATTTAACAGGTGTGGTGTTATTTTATTATTTCTTCCTAATCATCATATTTTGATAAAAGATTAATCGTAGTCAACTTTATTTAAGGAGGGGGTGTGATGAAGATTCCCAAACCATGCCCTGATAAGGACTTGGTGTTGAGTATAATGAACGAAAAAACAACATACGGTTTTAATACTGAATTTGATTCCGACTTTGTTAATTTGGTAAAGAAAAAAACCACAAGTATATTATTTATATAATGCCTACTGTCTTCATGAAATAACTTTAATAAATCTCAATTTATAGTGCGAGGTATTGCCTGTAAATGGAACAGCGAGAAAACCTACACAAAATTCATTGTTGTCTCCTGCTATTGTAGAAGTAATTGAAGAAGATGACTGCAATCTGTCTACAGATTTCCCAAATGATGAGGTAGGTATATAAATGTTTGTACGGAAAATACAATGTGTATTTCAAACAGATCAAAGGAGCTGTGGAGAACCTTTATACACCTTCCACATCCGGTAAACAAAATGTGGAATATGACCAACCTTCTAAAAAGGTAACATGTTACTGTTAAAGATTGCTCAAGCTTACAATTATGTTTTAGAGAAAATTTAGTGCAAGTAGAAGACGTCCTGCAACGGTTGTGAAGGCTCTAACTTCATCTGCACTTGGGGAAAAGTACAACAAATTAGTTGACTACAGGTTAGCTATAGCGGAAGCAGAGATGAAGTGGCAATCCGAGCATCATGCTCTGCAGCGAGAATCAATACTTCTGGATATTCAAATAAAAAAGGAAACTTTGCAAAATTTAACATTAAAGTAAAATTCTATTATTAATCATATTTATTATCATTCCTATGTACTTTTACTTTATTTCAACATATTACATTTTACAAATGAGCAAAATAGTTGTTAATCAAATCATCCCTCAACCGTACAATATTGCCACCATTGGCCGCAGGTATTTCCGGAATGTTACCATTAGCAATTAGTTGTTGTAACTCATCGTCATGAATATCTTCTGGTAAAGGTGGCGGCTGCATATCATTCATGGAACGTGCAATATTTTGTAGAACGGCTGTAGCGACAATTACTTAACTCATCGTCATGAATATCTTCTGGTAAAGGTGGCGGCTGCATATCATTCATGGAACGTGCAATATTTTGTAGAACGGCTGTAGCGACAATTACTGCAAAAACTGTGTGTAGCTTCAGTCTTATACCATATGCCAGTACAGGGAATCGCCGTTTACAATTACCAAACAGTCGCTCGACAATGTTCCTTGTTCTTATGTGTGCATCGTTATAGACTTGTTCAGCTCTATTACGTGGGTTTGCCAATGGTGTTAAAAAATAATCTCTCAAGGGATAACCACTATCACCTATTCAATAATTATGGGATTTTCAGTTAGCTATTAATACATTGAAATGTTATACCTACCTAGAAGTATGCTGTTTGGAAACTCTCCATTTTCCATTCTAGCCCTTATGCGACTGCTATTGAATATTGTAGAGTCATGCGCTGAGCCTGGCCACCTACAAACAATGTCCATAATTTCTAAATTTGCATTTGAAATTGCTTGGACATTAAGAGAAAAATATGATTTTCTATTTCTAAATATTTCCCCGTCATTGCCCCCAGGGGATTGTATTTTAATGTGGGTGCAATCTATTACACCTACTACCCTTGGAAATGCAGAAATTTCAAAAAACTCATTTTGAATGCGCTGCAACTCATTAGCATTTTCAGGCATTTTAATGAACTGTGGTCGTAGTCGTGCAATAGCTTCAGACACTCGTGGTATAATTCTTGACGCAGTCGATGTGTGTATTCCCGCAAAATCAGCAACTGCTGTTAAATGTCCAGACGATGCGTAAAATCGCAAAGTCACTAACAGCTGATTCATAGGGGAAACACTGTGGTTGCTGCAAGGATCAATCGTTTTAATATGTATTATTCAATTACAAAAACTTACCTACGTGTTATTTGGAAATTCCAACTCTTCTTCTATATAAATTAACACCCTTAAACACGTTTGTTTTGTTAAACGAAATCGTTTAAAGAAATTATATTCGTCCATGGAATGAAAATAATCAGATCTGGTGTAAAGCATCCTAGGAAATCCAAAGTCAATAACCTCCAAGATGTCTAAATCGTCTTCTAATATATCGTCTACTATTGCATCCATTTCTATTTTATATAGCTTTGTCTATATAAAATTGCAAATTTAATAGCAAACGCTAATAGAAAAGAAAGATGTTTCGTAGAGGATATGGTTTTTACACGACATAAAAAGATCCAAAACATTCGTAAGGCATGCGCGGTTCTATTTCTTGGCGCAAAGTAGAACTTAAGCGACCGTATTTCATGGCTTAAATTTAAGCAACCTTTCGGTTGCTTAAGAAATGCTTAGACCTTGGTGCAAGGAAAAACGTGAACTTAAGTATAACTTAAGAATAAGTAATGCTTAACTATTTCGGTGCAACTGGGCATGAGAGACCGTGCGTGTTAAGAACCACAGCAGTTTGACATAAACATAACCTGAAACCTGCGTCCGTATTTATTTGTAATTCATTTATAATGGCAAATTACGGTTTTGACTTAATTGATGTCGATGAAGAAGTTGCTGAAGCAGAAGTAGCGGAAATGGTAATACATAGAAATCCAAAAGTTTATTTAGAGCGGCTAAACCTGCTAGAAGTACTGGATGAGGAGAACTTTCGTATTCGGTATAGAATGCGAAAAGCAACTGCTGAACGCATTATTCAGATGATTGAGGGACAAATAGCTCCGTTTATCAATAATCGGGGCTCACCTATATCGGCGACTGTTCAGTTTCTGGCAACAGTTAGGTACTTAGCTAAGGGAGCTTACGGAGTCGATATAGGTAGGAGAATACCAATTAACGTGGATAGTGATCTGTTATGTTGTAGCGGATCAACATGGACTATCACAGCCTTCATTATCCAATATTATAAAGAGGGTTTCGCAAGCATTGGCAGCACATAGACACAGATTTATAAATTTTCCTACGGCAGAAGAATCACACCAAGTCAAAGCGGACTTCTATAGATTTGCCAACTGTCCATCAGTCATAGGTGCAATTGATGGCACCCATGTCAAAATTAAGTGTCCTGGAGGAGATTATCCATTACTCTATTTAAATCGCAAAGGATATTATTCCTTGAATGTGCAGGCAAGTCTTATGTTATGGGGATACATTGTACATGTGTGCTTTTTAGGTAGTATGTGATGCGAAATGTAAGATTCGGGACATTGTTGCACGATGGCGTGGTAGCACTCATGACTCCAGGATATGGAACGAGTGCCACTTAAGACGCAGGTTTATGGTATAGATATTGGTTGTAGTTCAACTTCTATTACTATTACACTTTTAGCATGGAGAAATAGATGGGGTGTTAGTTGGCGACAATGGATACCAATGTTCACGCTACATTCTTACTCCGTTATTAAATCCACAAACAAATGCAGAACAACGGTATAATACAGCTCATATAAGAACAAGAAATGTTATTGAAAGGACTTTCGGCATTTGGAAGAATAGGTTTCGCTGCTTTTTTAATGGTCTAAACCTACAATTAGAAACCACCAAAGCGGTTATTGTAGCAACAGCAATACTTCATAATCTTATCATTCAGGAACGCTTAGACAATGATGGTAATCGTTATTGATGCAATTTAGTTGTTGTAATGATGTTGTAACAGATTCATCAGATGACGAATATGATGATGACAATGACAGGGTTATATACCACAATGATGGAAGGGAACACGTTCAAGGAAATTTATTTCGAGCTAGATATATTGATACCCATTTTAATGAAATATTATACAAGATGTGTCAAAAATGCCTTTAATACCTGTCTTTAGTACATAGAGTGTATTTTATATTCCTATGATTATAACTTATAATAGTAAGAAAAACTAACGACGAACTAAACTTATTTTATGATCAGAAACTCCCCTCTGTATCAGGTATCGATCCGCCTAAACGTTTCAATTGTTCTTGAAACAGTTTATTTTCGTTCTGCTTTTTGAGTGCGTGTAATTCTTCTGCATGTCTCATCATTTGGGCAATTCTTTTTTCATTCAACTTAAGAAGTTGTCTCTCATATTGAGTCATTGCCTTCATTTTTACCTGCCCTCTCTTTTTCAGGGGGGCTGTCTTTGGAGTTTGTTCACCAGTTACATTGTTATCCTCTTCATCATCCATGTCACAGGTGCCTGTCTCCTCTATTATCTCTTCATATTCATCAAGTTGCAATACTTTATCATCCGAGAAACTCTCAGTCACGTAGTTGTGATCGTAACGTTTAGAGTAGGGGGGGTTCTTTGACATACAAGATGACGGCTGAAATTTCTCACCCTGGCTAGATGAAGGCTGGTACTTCTCCTGCTGACTAGTTAAAGGTACGTGCTTTTCAAGCTCACTAGTTGAACATGAAATCTGCGTGTTCTCTGCATTAGCAGGTAACACCTGCGGAAGTAAATATTACTAAATATACCTTAATTGTCAAGTAAAAATTACAGGGGTAGTGTCAGAATCAAAGCACGAGCTGTCTTCAACAAAGTCATGCGGAATCATGTCTTTGATTTTCCAATCAAAATCTGTCGGCTCCGGAGGCGGAGGACCTCCTCCAGTTAGCTTTGCTTGTCTTTTATATTGTCCCACATTGCGTTTCGCTTGCTGTTTTACTCGCAGCCACTGCTCTTTCATGCGATGTACATCTCGATTGTACCCTGTTACGTACACAAATGTTAAAACAGAAAACATTTGTACATAAGTCATAACTTACCTTCAACTTTCATTTTTCTCTGTATTCTCTGCCATGCAGAGTTCTTGTCCTTATTTAAAACAGTTAGTTTTTTTTTATTTTCAATAATGTTTAGTTCTGGTCGCAAGCATTCCAAAAACACTTCTTTCTCCGTCTCGTCCCAATTGGTGGATCGTGGTCGCTTTGTCTACGTAAACAATTAACTTACATCCGTTATTTGTAAGTGCTTACTTAGATTGCTTACAGAGGGAATGTTGTCCATAATAATGAACATACAGCTTTACAGTCTATATACATATAAAACGCGGTTACTATACACTGCAGTTTTAGGTTATGTGCGCTTTAGTAGCGTACAAAACATACCATACCCCACACTACTAAATAAAATAAGTAACTACTAACGCTAGTTGACATTAAACACCTTGCAATTTTTTTAGTAGGATTGTAGTAGTATGAAAGTAGCAACTAAATTTGATTATTAATAAGGCTTATAATTACTATCACATACTGCTAGAAGTATTATCGAAAAATAATTTTTACAGTTATAATATGCCGATCCACTTTGCGCGGGTTGTATTATTCTTATATGTTTGCCATCAACGGCACCGAGGCAGTTCGGAAACTTAGCAGTTTGTTTGAAACGATTTATTATGTCTTTCCATTTATCTTCAGTTAGTTGTTCCATACACATATCCTTCATATGTATCCATATATTTCTGCAAACATCTCACTATCTTACCTATTGTTGTTGATGCTATTCTAAAACTATATTGCAAATCCATAAATGTACATCCAGTTGCCAAATACCTGTAAAAACATATTTTTAAATCAATCAGTTATACTAATAAATATTTTTTTGTTGTTACAGCCATGTTAATACAGAAAAAATGGAAAACATTAAGAGATGGGTACACCAGATATGCTAAAAAAATTAAACCAAAGAGTGGTTCAGCAGCCCTCAACATTCGGCCATATCGTCGGCCTAATGTGAAAATTGCACATCTCTAAAAACCCAAATTTTACAGGGGAACGAAAAAACAGGTTAATTCTTTTGGGAAAAGAATGTACTTGTTTTATATCAATAAAAGATGAAAAAATATTATTAGTGTGCTCTCCTGTAGTGATTTTAGTCATTTTCAAATAATTGTTATAAAAATAAAGGAGTTATGCAAATTTCATTTTCAGATGCAGTATGAAATGGGACTTATTCCATTTTCACATAAAAACCAAACATTTTAAAACGATATTTATTTATATTTCGAATGCATAAAAAGCTGTTTGAATGGAATATTCAAAATTCGTTAAACAAACATAGTTAAATAGTATGTAAACAAAAGTAAAGTGTAGGTATTATTCATGTCTTAAATTGTCATAAAAATTATGATAATCCTTTTCGAGAGACTTTTTCAAAAACATGAGATGTTCAAACTTTTCATTTTTGATTTTTAGGGGCTCGCTGTACAATGCTGGTAGAGAATTATTTGGTACACCTTTATTAAGATTTTTTTTCAACCTCATGGGCATTACTTCATATTCCTCAGAATGCTTAATCTTAAATTCAATTTGGCCATCTGAATTATATTTCAGAGCTCTTAAGTTATTTACCGTAGGGTCACCAACTTTATATCCAGGTCTTATTGATTTTATTAAATTCAGTTTAGAATAATCTTTAAAGAATGTGTGATCCAAATAGCTCACGTGGTATGGTTTCGGATTTTTTCTGGCCAATTTACATAAGGATACGTAATCAGCCGGCACGTTAATGGTTCTTCTCCTCAATTTTCGCTCTATGGTTGAATGCATGGAGTCACACTCCATCTGAGTGTGTCCCTTTTCTAAGTATTTCTGAATGATACAAACCTGTTTCTCGATCGCCAAGTTTAATAAGGCGTTGCTCAAAGTGCAATTACGATTTTGGGCGCTACAGCCATCACTGAATAATATTATTTGTTGGGTGGGCTCAAGCTGAGGAATCACTTCATTAATTAAAAAATTACTTATGATCGACGCAAAGCAATTAGCACCAAGCTCGCCTTCGCCCTCGTGCCAAAGATAACAATACCCATCTTTAGAGTGCATATCAAAAATAGTAAAATTATGCACAATTAGCTTTGTGCGATAATACAGAGCCGACACGTTTGACCTTGGGCACAGTAATACCGATTGGAGGTCCATTGTAAAAACCCTATTCTTTGAATTTTTATCATTTGCCTTCGCTGCTCGCGCTTCTTCTTTCTTGGCAATGTGTTCCATGTAAACAGTTTCCTCTACATTTTTGGTCTTATAGCCTACGCAGACATCACATTCGTCTTTTTTTGGCATGAATAAGGATAAATTTAAATCTTCAAACGTGTTGGAGAATGTGGCACTACATAAAGGATTTATTTTTTCTTCTACACACCAATCCCTATAAAGTGCGTAAACTTCTGATTTTGCTTTAAACAATGGCTCTAAATATAATTTTGTTGAAGATTTTCGACAGTAATGCGATTCGAGCTTAGGGAGGTAATCTAAAAATCTTTTTAATTTTATTTTCTCTTGTTTAAAACGGTCATGCCTCTTTTCTGCACTTGTTGTAGTGTGTTGGTCTTGATCATTTTTAGCAGGGCTAGTTAATTCATTTTTTACCCATTCTGAAATTGTTCGTATGGAAACGCCCAACGTATTACAAAACATCACCTTGCATACTCTAATTTGTTCCTTTGTGGTTCTAAGTAAGTATGTATACGAACTTGTCCTCTGACTTACCTCTGGATCATTTCTATTTCTGGCTCTCTTTGTGCTCTTTTTGTAGACTCTTGCAGATACATACCGTTTTTTTTCTGCCCAGGAGAGATACCAAAATTTAAAAAAAATAGATTTTCGATCTTCATTTGTTAATTTGTAACACTGAATACTCATTTCATTGCCCATTTTTGTTAATTTATGGACACATTGACATCTTTCTTTCATTGCTCTTTCATTTTTCATAACATCAAACTTGTTTTCCTTTCTTCCCATGTACACAGTGCCCTTTTCTCTGTTCTTCTTGTTTATATTATATTTCCAAGAAGTGGGATCGGACAATCTTTTTTTCTTCCTTTTTCGCACATTTGCTATATTAGGATCATTTTCGTCTTCGGAGGTATCCATCTGATACGTTGGATCGGTGCTGTTGTTGTCAACTTCTTCAGGATTATGTGACATTTTCTCTTCATCTTTACGTCTAGTATAATTTGCTGTATTTTTCACTTGCTCTAAAAGATTAGCCGGTTCTTCTGCCACAAAGTGGTTATCTTCTGTTTGCTCAGTTTCATGTATTGCGTTATTTATCAAACTGGGCGATAAATCATTTCCTGCTCCTTCTTGCTCAAAAAGTTGGTTTGTTATTTCAATCTCTTCGGTAAGTGCTACAATAGCCGATTGTAGATCCACTTCAGTTGCTTCTATGAAATAATTTTCATTCTCAACATTTCGTCTCTCGTTTAAAACACTGGTAGGCTGTTGTGCTAAAGTCAGTATTTTGAAGCTCCTCGACCTACGATCCATAGCTAAAAGAAAATTAATAATTTTTATTTGTATTTTTGCTTGTATTTTTTTCACCCCGAAGTTAAAAACAGAAATCAAAAACATTAAAATTTGTTAAATACTGAGAGGATTTAAAATTTAAAAATTGGTCAATTTAGGCATAATTCAAAACAAAGCTGCAAACAAGCAGGTTTAAATCTGTAACATGCATAACTCCTATCAGCTGTACAAATATTAGTTATGTGAAAATTGCACAACTCCTTCTGCTAAGAAAAAGGCGTATTATTTACACTGCTATTGATTTCAACAAATGTGTAAAGTTTTTGGTCTATTTAAAAGGGTTTATATTTACCTGTACAATGTATTAACACACTTAATTGCGGACAATCAGATCAGAGGTTTAATAAAACAAACAGTAAAACACCGCCATTAACTTCATGCAACAACTACTAATATAAGGACTTGTGCAATTTTCGTACCGTTCTAGTATGCATGGGACTTGTGCGCATTTCAGACTTATACTTCTGGCGACATCTGATTTTATTTTACAGAATTATTCAATTGAAAGACATAGATTCGCTGCTTGTCTATCAGATGCCGTTAAAATTCACTTTTCGATAAAAATGGACTTATGCACTTTTCACATTAGGCCGACGATATGCATATTATCAGCAGATGTCTTTTTTAAAGGTAATAATAGAAGATAGACCCGACAAAACAAACAGTTTACAAGAAAGTGAGCACGCTGAAATTACGTCCGAAGAAAGCGAAAATCGTCAAAATAAAATAAACAAAGAAAGAAACAAAAGAAAATTAACTACTACAATCACAGATGAGAACGTCTTAATCGAAAAATTATCCAAACGCTTCGATGAAAAATCGCAGAATTCGCGCATTGATAATGAGGATGAAGATAAATTGTTTTTATTATCATTAGTAAGCGAATTCAAAAAAATTAATGAGCAGTATAAATTAGATGCTAAGATAGAAATACTTAACGTAATGAAATACTTTAAAGGGATGACAAATCACACATACCCTTCGAGTTATGGTGACAGGGGATATTCATCACAATATTCATCGTTTAATGATTACCGAGGACAATGGGGTTATAATACAGGCCCCTCAACCTCTACATCAGTGCCTGGCTCCTCTAGATCAGCGTCTGGCCCCTCTACATCAGTGGCTGATGACCAAAATTCTCAATTTGAAGACCTTTCATCATCTTCAGTATTGTCCGATGATGTCATTTCCAATATTTTTAATGAATAAAAATTTAAATAATTACTAGGTATATATTTTTCAAACCTCAATGTTACTGCTAGTCTTTCTTCTGGTTGGATACTTCTCCTCATAATTGTGTCTTCACGTTTAATTTTAGATTTTAGTATATTATTCAATTCATCAAACGAAGTGATTGACATTCTAAAATAGTTGAAAAATTTTTCTTCATCACTTCTAAGGTCCATAAACAAATGATGGAATTGTCCATGTTGTTCTCTTAATTCCAAAATTGGATGAACCCAAAATTTTCTCTTTTGACGTCGCCGCCGTCGTCGTCTCCGCTTGAGCAGAAGCAGCAAAAGCAGTGCTTCCTCGTCAGAATCCATTGACTCGAGTGTGGTAAATCAACTGCTCGAGCGGTTGGTAGCGTAGCTCGAGCAGCCAACAACCGACCGCTCGAGCAGTCGACGCCGACCGCTCGAGCGGTCCGTGTACGTCGCTCAGCCGCTAACTGCTCGAGCAGTCCGTGTACGGCCGCCCTAAGAACTAATTATTTACGTTTACAAATGAGTAACAAATCAATACCCAATATACCATACAAACATAGATATATAAATACACATACAAATTTTTAACATTGCTGTTTCTATTCTGAGAAGGCCGTATTCTGTGGAACGTATTTTAGCAACCCCGCAAGTCGCCATTTGAAACGTCAAATACACACCCCATTTCTGCTGCCGTTTCGCACAATATTCATTGATACCCCATTTGCGATGGACGCTAGAAGTGATGGTGATAATAATTTCACATGTAAGCCTCCCGAAATATGAGAAATTGCTCAGGTATTCACAATAACTTTAGTGCCAGAAAAATGACAAAGGCAACATACACAAATGTATACACCATTTTTCCAAGAGTCGTACAGAAAGGTTAGTCTTATAGTTGCGTAGAATGGCTATTATTTACTTAGATAATTCCAACACTCCTGTGCCCGCGCGTGTAGGGAACTGCCCACGTGAATAATAGCCATCGCTCTACGCTCGTTGAAGCATGTTTTTTTTGCATTTTATTATTTCTGGGTTGCGACGTTTGCTGAGCGTAAGGCTACGGCTACATTAGCGACGTTTCAGAGCAGATCAGACTAGATAAGTGGCTACAGGTGTCCCTTCAGACAGCGGCGACAGACACGTTTCCCCAGACACATACGTGTACGTTCCGACGATCTGTACGAATCAAACGTGTTTGATATTTTCTCAGACTACGACCGTAAATTGACTTGTGAGACAATGGATAAATCACTTTTAATCGACCTCATGAGAAAAAATCCACCTCTTTGGGATCAACGGGATAAGAGATACCACAACAGGGATATAAAAAGTCTTTTATGGAAAGACATTGGAGAAAAAATGGGCGTTACAGGTATGTAAAGAGTAAATTATTTATTTAGTTGGAACATTTCATTAGAATTTAACATAAGGAATCAAAACTGCATGTTTAAACACTTTGGTTGAAAGGGAACTGATCCACGAGGTCCATTGAAATATCGGTTAAATTCTTCTCTTTGCTTTGCGTTATTATTAAATATTCTGCCCGTTCTTCTGGAGTTATTGATGACATTATTTTGGTTTCTTCAAGCCCTTGTCTCTCTACTGCAATACTAGAGCGGCCTTCAAAGTCCATGACCACATTATGCAACAAACAAATTGTTTTAGAAATTTTAATACCCTTTTCTACATCCGTTTCAATGGCCTTATTTAGCACATAAAATACCAAAAGCGCATTCGATACATCTCCTTTCACGAGACAGTCTGTAGTTAAATATTGTTTCCTGGTTTGTAAGTCGCCTTTTTGAATAAGGTTTCATTAAATATGTTTTTAAGGGATAGGCATCGTCACCCAACAAAACAAACGGCATATCGTCGGGTATCCCGTAAATGGGTGCAGGTGGAGGTAAAGTATTATTGTAGTTTTCCAAAAAAATCGTACAAATTAGAAATGTGAAAAGTTCCAACGTCGCTTTGCCTGCCATAGGAGCCTACGTCAATAAAAATAAATCGACAATCTGCATCTGCTACTCCTTGTAATACAATCTAATAAAAATGTTTGTAATTGTAATACATAGTTCCGGACTTTGGTGGACATTTTATTTCTATATGCTTTCCATCGACGCAACCTATACAATTGGGAAAATTCCATCTTGCGTTGAATTTTGATGAGATTTGTCTAAATCTGTCTTGATTAGGAACTCCCAAATGTGTAGCACGTAATTTAATCCAAAGCGCATCACATACTTCTTCAACAAGTTTTCCAATTGTATAATGATCAACACGGAAAGTGAATGCTAGCGAACGAAATGACATGCCAGTTGCAAAATACCTGAAAAATAAGATAAAACTAATAGTAACAGTGACCAGTTCAATATTATCATTGTATTTATAAACGTTTATAAATGCAATGATATTATTTATTAGTATCAACTTTTTATGAACGCTCCTTAAGAGCTTTGTTGTGTTTTAGCCGAACAAGTAAAAAAGCAGTGGGAACTTCTACGCGACACGTTTAGAAGAGAATTTAAAAAAGTCCACGTAACTCACTCAGGTCAAGAAGCAGGTGATGAACACATTGAAGCTGATTGTAAATGGCCTTATTTCAAACATATCCTGTTTCTGAAAGATGTTTTAATACCCAGAAAAAGTGCAACGAGTGTCCCACCTACCTCACCTTCACATGATTTTGCACCCGAGTCATCAAGAAACTCCGAATAGCGAAGTTGTTACAATAAATGAGGAAAATGTCCGGGATTCGGAAATAACAGATAAACTCTCTGAAAAACCTAAACGAAAACGAAACAGTTTCCAGGACGAGGTAATCAATATCGAAAATAAAAAAATAAAACAAATCCAAGAAGACGATGAAGATATGCATTTTTTTAAAAGCATACTTCCTCACATTCGCAAATTGTCAGATGTCCAAAAAATGAAAGTTAGAATGCAGTTTATGAATATTATCACCCAAGAACTTGAGACTATTAAACATGGAACCTACCAAAATGATAGGAATCTACAATAAACATCGACGTCCACTCCGGCAACCAGTAGCTGTTCTAACCGAATTCATTACATTTTTACTCCAAGCTGCGAAGAAAGACAAGATTCTCCTATAACTATAAATGGTGAAGCCCTGAATTTTTTAATAATAGCCTATAATATTTTTAAACAACTTATTTCTGAAAGATACGAAAAAGATTTTTTGTCATGCGATAACCAAAAATTATTATTAATATAGTTATTTGTTTCATTAGTACAAAAAATGTCGAGGAAGATAGTTGCTGGACGACGCGTTAGCGGAGTCCAGCAACCTTCCGAGTCCCGAAAACGCATTTTTTGTACGAATAAAACATAAAATTTTTTCTCCAACCCCCTTTAGGTACTTCAAATTATATTCCAATTTAGATTCAGTTACAGTTTCACTACTATAGTATAAGAACTTCTGCTTTCTTGTCCTCACGTGTCATGCCACTCTAGTTTTTAGGTTAACTTATAACCTATTCGTTTTTACCTCTTACTTCTCACCTCTCGCGACTTTGTAGGGAGCAAATCTTGAGGTAGCATGTTCTGCCGTTTCTATAATCTCTGACGGAGTGCAATCCATGTCGCTATCAGTTTCAGTCATTTTATTGTATACACAATTAATATTGTTATATTTTGTATTGAAATAAAAAACTTACCATACAGTTTTTTAATTAAAATTAATTGCAATTAACTTTTTCAAATTTTGAATTCAAAATGACAGATAATAGTGCAATGGGTCTGAAGTAGATGGCGTTACGCGCGACGGCGGGTTGTCTACGTATTAAAATTACGTTCACGGAATATGTAAATTACGTTACACATGGTTTAAATAAAAATAGCGAGCGTAAATCATTTTCAATACATGTACATACGTATAGGTAACATCATTATTTGCATTGAATCTGCAAAAATATTTGATTTGTATGTATAGAAATATCTTACAACCTGCAATGTAAAACGATGTCAATGTGACATATCTCCGTGATTGTAATTTTTTAATTGGCCAACTTTCAAGGTCAATTTCTTTTTGGTACTAGGACCAAAAGTATCCACTTTTTGTACATTTGCCATGGTGAAAGCGA